GAGTTCAAGACCAGCCTGGCCTACATAGTGAGTTCCAGGTCAGCTGGGGCTACAGGGAGACCCTGTCTCAAAAAGACCAAAAAAAAAAAAAAAAAAAAAAACTATTTTTCTTCCCCCTGTAAGGGAAGAAGAAAAATATTCTGCCTCTCTGTCTCTTTTATACATACTTAAGAATTGTGAAGCTAGGGAGGGAGAGACGGTTAAGAGTGCATACTGCTCTTGCAGAGGACCTGCCTTTGGTTACCAGCACCCACATCAGGTTGCTTGCAGTTGACTGTAACTCCAGCTATAGGGGGAGTCAAGGCTTCTGGCCTTCCTGGAGACCCACACTCACATGCACATACCCACCCCTCCTTCCCCACACACTTATACCACTTTTGGTCTATGGGGCTTTTCCAATTCTATATGTGCCAAAGGGCTCCAAAATGATCTTTATTATTTTTTATTGTTCTTTTTGTGGTTATGAGGAAACAGACAAAAACCACAAGAAACTATACAGTGATTGACCAAAATGTAAAACTCTGGCTTGTATGCTAGTCCGTTCAGGCTAACAACAAAATACTACAAACTACTCAGTTTTACTTACTTAGAAACAACAGATATTTTCTCACAGTTTTGGGAATTTGGTTAAGGTGCTGGCAGACTTGATCTGTTTTCTTGTTGTATCCTTCTTTATGTGGTAGGTCTGAGAAACATTATTTATCACTTATTTATTGGGGCACTAATTTCATTCATAAAGTAGTCACCCCTCAAATGCCCCCTCTCTAATACTATCTGGTTAGAATTTCAACCTATGGCCAGGTATGGTAGTGCACTCCTTTAGTCCTAGCACTTGGGAGGCTGAGGCAGATGGATCTCTGTGAGTTCAAGGCCAGCCTGGTCTACATAGCGAGTTCCAGGACAGCTGGGGCTACAGGGAGACCCTGTCTCAAAAAACCCAAGCCCCCCAAAACAAAAACAAACAAACAAAAAAACCCAAAAGAATTTCAATGTATGAGTTGGAGGGAGAGGATATAAATCTAAATATTCAGTTCTTCTGTGTGTGTGTGTTTGTGTATGTGTATGCATGTCTACAAGTGTGTGTATGTACATGTGTATGTGGAGACCAGAGGTGGACATCATGTGTCTTCTTTACTCATTCTCTACCTTGTTTTCTTCCAGTTTTTTTTTTTTAAAGATTTTTTTGTTCTTTTTTTTTTTTTGAAGTGTATTCTAAAATTTTTATTGAATTTTTGTGTATTTCATACGTAAAATCATCTTTATACCTCCTTCCCTCTTCCCCTTTGGCACCCTTCCATAGACCCCACCCCCACCCCCCACATTGGAGTTCATACATTCTGTCATTTGTATTAAGGCCTATTATGTAAAGTTAGTGTCTCAAAATGTCCCTCAGTGCAGGTTCATCCACTGGGGTTTAGTCAGCCTATCTAGAGTCTCTCTCTTCAAGAATATCTGCTTTTCTTCACCCAGCAGTAATCAGCTGCCAATAATTCTTTGATTAAGATTGGGGCTTGCTGTTCATTTCCACAGTTCTCTGCTGGGTTTTTGTCTGCCTAAGTTTGCATGGGTTTTGTGCTGACACCATTGCTGTAGGTTTGTATGAGAAGGGTCCCAGCCACCTGTAGGACCATTTCCATATGGTCATGCCCCTCCTCCCTGGCTCTTACAATCTTTTTGCCCCCTCTTCTGCAATGGTTCCTGAGCCCTAGGCGGGTGGGCCTCAATATAGGAGACCTGTCCAAGGACCTACACTCTGCCCACTCTTATTCTCTGCGTTTTGGCCATTTGTGGCCTTTTGTGTTCCTGGTCCTCTGTTGCATGAGGGAGTTTCATTGATGAGAATTGAAAGATACATTAGTCTTCATCTCTTTTTCTATGTTCCGTGAGTCTTAGGTGTAGAGGTTATATCTTAAATGTGCTACTTAGGCTTGGGCAATTCACAGAGAATCTCTGTGTGACCAGTGGTGTAACCCTGTAATAATCTCTGTCTGTTGTAAAAGAAACTTCTTTGATGGGTGGTGACTGGGATTCTTGTCTATAAATTTAAGGATCCATATTTTGCACATAGTAAATTACATTTGTCTAGGGAATGTGAGAGCCTTGGGTTTTTTCTAAGATCTATGATCTCTCCAGCTATGTGTATTTGTCTAGGTTTACAGTACCAGACAGGAGTTTCCTCCCATTGAGTACACTTTAAGTTCAATTAGGTAGCTGTTGATTATCCCCAAGATAAAAGTGCCAGTACTGTACCAATGTTGTTTGCTGTGCTGGTCATTGATGTGGTTTTAGGCCTTGAAGATGGGGTTGGACCATCAATTGATGTTCTTCCTTACCAGCTTGCATAGTGTTCTCCAAAGCTCTGAGAGCTAACCTTCGGGGGAGGTGGCTTCTAGATCAGTTCCAGCTCCATTGCTCCAAATCTGTCCAAAGTAGGTCCTGTCTTCAGCAATAGGGTCTTACAATCAAGTTCTTGGAGGCAATCAAGGATTGTGGCAATAGCCTGTGTAATTTTGGGAGTCTCTTGGACTACCATGGCCAACAACTCAAAGGAAGGTTTCTCCTGTCTGGCACTGTTTCTTGTTATGTAGTCTTCAGCTATACTCACAGACTCATGTAGGGATATTGTATGTGTAATTTTTCAGTAGGTTTTTGGGCTAATAGGATTCCCTCTGTTTTTTTTATACTAGCTAGGCACTATTTATGTCTCCTCTTTCCCTCCGTCTTATTCTCCCTCCCTACCCTTTCCATTTAAAGTGTCCCCATTTTCTCCATTTCTCCCTTTATAATTTTTGTATGCTATGATCCCACTTCTTTTGAGCTCCTTTTTTGTCTTTTGAGACAGGGTCTCCCTGTAGCCCCAGCTGGCCTGGATTCCCTCTGGAGACCAGGCTGGCCTCGAACTCACATAAATCTGCCTGTCTCTGCTGGGATTAAAGACCTGCGCCACCATGCCTGGCTTTAATATTTATTTTTATGTGTATGAGTGTTTTGCCCACACATATGTATGTGTGTGCCATGTATGTGTGTGCCACACTGTGCCTGGTGCCCTAGGGTTTTGGGTCTCTGGAGTTATAAATGGCTGTGAGCTGCCATGTTGTTGCTGGGAACTGAACCTGGCTCCTCTGCAAGAGTATCCAGTGCTCTTATCCCCTGAGCCATCTCTCCAGCCCTCAACCATATTTTTTGAGGCAGGGTCTTTCACTGAACCTGGAGCTCACTATTCAGTTAGACTGACTCTTATTATAGCTAGCTCCTTTATAAACCTGGGTGAGACCAGTACAAAAGGACCTTGAATCAGCAAATTGGAAGAGTGAAGTTTGAAAAGCAACCATAGGCTAAGAATGGATAGTTCAGCCAGCCAGGGGGTGGTGATGCTGCAGGATGCAAGGTTCACGAAGTCCAAAGTTGGAGCAATGGAAGGCAGCTGTGGCAGAAGGGTCCGGATGTGACCCTGCATTAGGAACAAAGCACTTTCTCTTTTCCCTTACTCTGCTCTGCCAGGCTTGGGTGCTGCCTACCCCAGGGCCCAGCATGCGTTTGGAGTCTGAAGGAGAGAGCACTATGCTTTTGGGTCACATAGATAATAGGAGTTAACTTTTTGCCAGATCTTCCTCTCTGTTAAGCAGTTTGTTAAGTCTGGATTTATAGGTAACTAACCCTGTACAATGGTATTAGTTAATGAGTGGCTGCTGTTTTTTCCAAGCTGTCAGGCAGTTTTAAACTAATTTCATTCAAAACAATGGTACTTAACTCTGCGTGTACATTAGACTCTTTTGAGAGAATTTAGAAAACACACTAGTGCCAGTGCCCTATACCAATTAAATTCTTCAACTGGTTTGAGGTCTAAGTATTGGTTTAAAGAACTTCCCAGGTGATTCTAGTAGGTAGCCAGGGTTGGAACTACGGATTTAAAACATCTGGAAAAATTTTAATCAACAACAATTCTTGTTATTACTATTATGATTATCGTTTTTTAATTTTTTAATTTTATGAGTGTATTGCCTGTATGATTATCGTTTTTGAGACATGGGCTCATGTAGCCGAGGCTGGCCTTGAACTTCTGATCCTTGTTTCCACTTCCTAAGTCTTGGGGTTATGGCATGCAATCATGCCTGGCTTAATCAACTACTTTAAACAGGAGACGGGACTTGAACTGGAAGCCTTATTCCCCCCAATTCCTTCTGATCAAGATAACCACTAGGCCATTTTACAATTGTTGAGCCACATCCCTTCCACCTCATGAAGTGACTCCCTGTAGGAACACTTCTCAGACGCGTCCTGTTCAATTCTGGACGTGGCTTTTCCTCCTCACTAGCTCTCAGCGGCTAACACGTGTATTTTTTGTTGTTACATGCATGTGCATCATTAAATGCTTGTGGGTGTCAATTGCGAGCTTGGAGTCAGGGAGTAGGCCGGGCTTTTCTAGGGACTGAAATAGGAATGAATAACCTGCTGGCCTGGGAAGGGAGGACCCAGGAAGGGGGCAGTGCAGAGGAGGGCGACGCTAGTCTAACCCAACTCAGCCAGGCTCACATGGTGGCCGCCGGCGGGAAGGCGGCCCGGCCGGGAAGAGCCTGTGGAAGAGGCGGAGGAACCGAAACCGGAGGCTGGGAGCGTGCGTGAAGGAAAAGGCCGGAGGGCCAGGACTGAAGGAGAAGGCGGTGCGGAGAGGCAGGGCGCGCAGAGGAGGGGGCGGAGCCGGTGGGGGGGGCCTCGGGGACTGGACCATGGGCGGGGCCTAGGGAAGCCCGGGACGAGCTCTAGGAGGTGGTGGCGCCCTGGAGGGGGCGGAGCCTAGGGGAAGCCGGGACGTACAACGAGGTGGCGGAGGGCGGAGCCTAGTAGGGGGCGGAGCCTAAGGGAAGCCGCGACCAACCACAGTGGTGGAGAGGGCGGGAGCCTAGGAGGGGGCGGAGCCTAAGGGAGGCCGGGACGAACTCTGAGTGGTGTGGGGGGAGGGATCACAGGGTAAGGGGTGGGGCCTTGGAAGGGGAGGCACCGGGGGAGAGGCCTCGTAGGCCTGGCCGGTGGGGTACGTTTTCAGAGGGTGGGTGAGGCCCTCGGGGCCCTTCCCAGCCCTTCTCCTCTGCGCCGCGGGTCCCGGGCCGCTCCCTGAGGCACAGGTTCTGGCGGCCATGACCCACGCGGTCGCGCTGCCCCGACCCGGCGCCGGCATGGAGCTCTTCCAAGCCAAGGACCACTACATCCTGCAGCAGGGCGAGCGCGCGCTGTGGTGCAGCCGGCGCGACGGCGGCCTGCAGCTGCGACCCGGTGAGGCGCGCGGTGCGGGCTGGATGGGGCGCGGCCCGGCCCCTCCGGAGGGACGGCGGAGCGGGCGGGCTATCCGGGCGCTGTGCTGCGGGGCGCGGCCGCGGCCTCTGCCCTGGGCGGCGAGGTGGAGGGCGGCCCCGGGCGCTGGGGTCCGGGAGCGGGGTGGGTGGGGGCGAGCCCCTCACGACAACCCTGCAGATCTCACTGTCCATCGCTGGAGTTCTGGGTTCGAATTCCACCCAGTTCTGTGGAACCTGCGGCGGGACGCTTCTTGCGGACATCCAAGTGTTCTCGAATCGTTTAAGTGGGACTTGGCGAGTTACCGTCCATGCACTTGTGTGGCTAGCTGGTGCGACAGTGACCCAGGTGTCCCAGGCTCCTTCAGTAGAGGCCCAAGGCTTCTTTAGCAAAGTTCGCTTTAGCAAAGTTTGTTTGCGCGCAGCGCCTGGCCTCAGAGAGCTCCCAGTCCAGTTTCCTCGCGGAGGAGTCTGGGTAGCTTCTCAGACCATCACTCAAGATTTCTGCACTTTAGTCAAAGTGAGAGTGCAACTTCTGGAAGTTTATGGAGTCCTTGTATACCTCGGGTACCAAAAGTTCCAAGGAGCTTTGCACATCGACTTGTGGGATGCTTCCTGGGACAGGTCCTCCAGAGCAGGTGTGAGGTCCCCAAGAGTGGAGATGGGGGAGCCATGGGGCAGCTCTGACCTCCAGAACTCTTTTTTGGTCTTATGAAGACCAGCTTTGTTAGAACAGTGGAGAACTTTTTCCCCCTCCTACTCCAGAAATAGGGATCTGGCTGTATTTTCTTTCTACTAATTCTATTTCCTCTTTTTAGAATGGAGGAGAAACTACTGTGTCCACAAGAGGCTCTTGATCTTGGGAGGGATGATGTAGATAGGCTATTTTTGGCTAGTCCCAAGTCTGCCTCGGTCATTTTCCTGTCCCCTTACCTGGCTGGTCTGCATGAGGTTCAGAGCAGCTAGAAGTAGCTTCTAAAAATCCCGTGTTGGGGCTGGAGAGATGGCTCAGCGGTTAAGAACACTGGTTGTTCTTGAAGAAGATCCGAGTTCGAATCACAGCACCCACATGGCAGCTAACAGCTGTCTGTAACTCTAGTCCCAGGGGATCCAACAGCCTCTTCTGACCTCCATGGGCATTGCACAACACGGGTGCACTTACCTACATGCAGGCAATACATGCATACACATAAAATAAAAAATAATTTAAAAAATCCCATGCTGTCAAGAGCCAGCTCCTGGGAGCTAGAATGCATAAACTTAGGTGGATGGAGCTAGAACTCCTAGTGGCTCATCTGACAGGGCAAAGTTTTCTGCAGTTCAGTTTCCCCAACTGTGAAGTTTAACCTGGGCCTAGATTTTGGAGTAAGCCATGTGGTGTGGGTTGCTGTTTATCTAAAGTCCATACAGAAAGCAACTTAAAACTTGTTCCCCCTGAATAAAAATTTGGCTCTAGCATTTGCAATTACGTTTTTCTCATTTCTTAGGATATATAGCTGATCACTCACTAAAGTAGAAAGGTCTAGGGGAAGGAAGAGGCTGTCATATTTCAGAAGTAACCGACCTGTGTTAATCCTTAGACACGCAAGTTTGTGAATGAAGAATCCCTGGACTTTACTAGTTTAGTCTATCCTGTTCAATATTCAAGATCCTTTCTAAATGGCTTTTTGGTAATGGTATTTAAGAGTGCTTTTCAGCTCTCTTGTGCTAATGTATGGATATATGGAGTTATTTCAAATTTATTTTATTGAACTCTTTTTTTTTTTTTTTTTGGTCTTTTTGAGACGGTCTCCCTGTAGCCCCAGCTGTCCTTGAACTCACTATGTAGACCAGGCTGGCCTTGAACTCACAGAGATCTGCCTGCCTCTGCCTCCTGAGTGCTGGGATTAAATGCGAGTGCCACCATGCCCGGCTATTGAACTGTTTTTATGGCCCGCTTTGCTGCTGTTTGTAGTGACAGCATTTAAAAATCTTTCATTTTTCGTATTGGTTATTCAATTGAACAGACTATTGACAAAGTCCTTTTCTTTACCGTAGGGTAATATAGCATCAGAAAAACTCTGGGAATTGTGATTTTTTTTTTTTTTTTTACACACACTACTGAACAACCTAAAACAGGTTTCTTTTTTCCTGGAGACGTCAGAAAATAAGTGCTGATAATATTTAAGGTTAAAATGACCATTTCCATAGCTTGGGATCGTTGTTCCTCTCAGTCCCTTTTCCTGCCTAGTTCATTGTGTGAGACTCATACTCAAGGACTCTCCCCACCCCCCACTGTGGTGTGCTAGCCTAATGCTCATCTATGAACCCATGGAGCAGAGTTATTGATCACATTAATTTTGTTTCCTGATAGTTCCTGTACTTAGTCCATGTTCAATTACAACTCTTCCCTTCTACATCATGTAATGGTAGCTTACCTACTTCTTCTCCATTGCACAGTATATCCCCCAAAGTGGATTACTTCACTCATTTTGGTGTCTCTGGGCTTAAGAGTGTTAAGAACACAGAACATCCATTTTTTTGGTTGAGTTGACCTGAATTAAATATAAGTTCCAAGTTTTTTTCACAGTTACATTGTTAACCAGGCTGTAGTGGAGGCTGGCCTGGACTCCTTTTGCCTCTGCATCCTCTTAGGTTTTGGGATTACAGGTGTGAGCCATGACACCTGTCTGAATCATTCAACCCCTCCCCACCCAGGATTTATTTAATTGGGGTGGAAAATCTCTCCTCAGTTGGGTGAGGAGTGAGGAACATTTACACTTTTTTTTTTTCCTTTTATTATATTTTAAGCATATACGTGTTTTGCCTACATGTATGTAAGCACACCACATGTGTGCAGTGTCTCACAGAGGCCAGAAGAGAGTGTCCGAGCCCCTGGAGCTGGAGTTAAGAACCGTTGTTAGCTGCCATGTGGGTGCTGGCAGATGAACCTGGGTCATTTGGAAGAACAGCCAATGTTCTTAACTGCTGAGTGTCTCTGGCCCTGTTTTATTTTCTCCTGTCTATAGCATCATCCTTTTTTTCCCTTTTTCTTTTAAATGATAGAATTTCTTATTTTCTTTGACAGTTTAGATTTTTTTCATTTTTTTTCTTCTAAGAGACCAAGTATGATTATTTCTCTTACGTTCTGATTGTCTTAGCAGTAGTCAATAGTCTATATGCTGAACACTGTGTTTTGATAGATATTTATGGTGGTTGCAAGTTAATGGCCATCAGGGAAAAATATTTAGGTTGTTTTAACTTCTCCCAGGAATGTAATAGAGCACTGTGTAAACATTCATGATTTTCCTGAGAATACAATTTAATGTCTGACAATAAGAATTGTAGTTTAATAGAAAGGAGACCAGGAGAAAGGAAAAAGAGGGGTTGAGAGGGCAACATAAAGTAGGAAAGAAAATATCGGAGGTGAGTGGAAGGCTACAAGGAGGAGTAGGAATACAAACAGGATGGGGGGAATCAAGAGAAACAAATAGTGTTTGAAAATACCATAATGAAACCCAGTACTGTGTGTGCTCACTAAAAATAAGATTAAAAGGGAATTGTAGTTTTCAAGAACTTAAGAAATATAACCCACTTTGGGGGAATAGTGATATGGTCTTATCTTTTCCATCTTAAATTTACTTCCACTGGTCCTGAGGCTTTGTGTGTTAGGGCCGTGTTAGGTACTTTACTTCCCTGTTCTGAGACCAAGTGACCATGAAAGATCTCACCACCTTCTTAACACGCACAACATGCACAAGCATATAATCTACCTAGAAAGATGATACTTTATTTTTTATTTTATTTTATTTTTTGGTCTTTTTGAGACAGGATTTCCTTGTAGCCCCAGCTGTCCTGGAACTCACTTTGTAGATCAGACTGACCTTGAACTCACAGAGATCCACCTGCCTCTGCCTCCCAAGTGCTGGGTTTAAAGGCATGCAGTTTATTTTTTATTTTTAAAATTTTATTTTTAATGGAGTTTTTGCAATTTTCATACACTGTAGTTTGATGGTATTTAGATCCCCTCCGCTATCCGAACCTCCTTTCACTGCTCCCCCTCCCCGGTTTAATGTACTCTCATGTATGTGATACAGCCTATGGAGTCTGATTTGTATCTCCAAATGTCTTTCCAATGTGTGTCGGACCACTAGGCTCACCAAGAGTCCCATCCCTATAAGACACTGTCTCTCCCCCTCCCAGAAGCCATCTGTTGCTAGAAGTTCTTTAGGTTTATGTGGTTTTTAAAATTTTTTTTTGCTTTTTGAGACAGGGTTTCCCTGTAACTCCAGCTGGCCTGGAACTCACTATATAGAGTAGACTGACCTCCATCTCACAGAGATCTACCTGCCTCTGCCTCCCGAGTGCTGTGATTAAAGGTTTGTACTACCACACTGTGCTTTGTTACTTTTTAAACTTTAAAAAAAAAATTCATTTTTATTTTATGTATATAAGTGTTTTGCCTGCATGTATAAGTACACTGGTGCAGGCCATGCCTCGGAGGCCAGAGAGGGCATCCCTGAAATGGATTTATGGATAGTTGTTAGCTGCAAAAAGGGACTGGGAACTGAATCTGGATCCTCTGCAAGAAGTCAGTGCTCTTAACTGCTGAACCATCTCTCCAGCCCTTTCTGTTATTTTTGAGACAGATTCTCACCGTGTAGCCCTGGCTGACCTGGAACTTGCTAGGTAGACTAGGTGGCTTCGAATTCACAGGATCCCCCTCCCTCTGCCTCCTGAGTGCTGGAATTAAAGGTATGTGCCACCACATGGAGCTAGAAAGATGATATTTTAAATGATGACTACCAGTAAACATTATTTTTACTTTCTTTTTTGGGTACTGGTTGTCAGAATCCACACAAAGTTTTCCTGCTCTCCTTACAGTTTTGGTGATGAAATTATTTTTCTTTTTTGAGGAAAGGGAACGCACATGCAACTTAACATTTGTAGAGTTAGAAGGACGCCTTTCAGGAGTGTGTTCTTCCACCATATGGATTCTGGGGT